CTAAAAAGGAGCTCTGTATCCGAAATTTTTCCCTGTGGAACTACCGCCCTCTTCTACCCACGCGTGCTAAGGCCCTCTCACAAGCTTTGCTTAGACTGCTGTAGACTGAGGCTCATCTCTATCTGCCATTTAAAATGACAAAAGTAAAGCTGTGAAAACAGCAATTCTTTCAAAAAATGAATCCATGTAACAGCTTAAATTGTTTCTGTATGTTTTATGGATAGTAAAAGGCATTTTGAGAATGGTAGCAATCAAGGAATTTATAGGCTTTCTAAAAATGGAGCAGGAAATCAAGTGTCTTGTGTGCAGGAAGGGGTGCTGCCACGAGCTGAGCGAGGCGGCGGGTGGCAGTGAGGTGTCATGCAGAGGATTCCCCACGCAGCAGGGCACAGGCCTGCGGAAACGTCGTATTTCTGGGAGCTCGGATCATCCGTGAGGCACTAAGACATGTGGCAGGGGGAACCTGATGAGCATGGCTGACTGCCAGCAGATATTATGATCTCAGAATATTGATGTTTTGTACTAATAATTACAAAATCAGCAGCTGTACAATTATATATTTAGATAAATACAAGTGTAAGTACCTCCTGTAACATGGAGAATGGAAAGGAACTATGATGAAAATGACAGCTCACACAGTAACATTAATACTTAAAAAAGACAGAGAAGCAAGGAGGATGAGAACATTATAAAGAATAGAATATTGATAGTCTAGAAGAAAAATTGATAATGCAAATATTCATAAATGATGGGAAAAAAATACATTAACCTCCCACAGCTGTTGAGGGCAGATACATCTCAGACAGAAGATACAAAGAGAAAAGAAGTCTGCACTTAGAAAAAAAATCTGGAAAAGAAACGTGCAACCAGAATAACCATTTTGATACTCTGCCTAGGGCAGAAAGAGATGCTATTGCTGTGGGTTGTCTTAGCAGCCAGGAAGAAAACCAAAGTTGGAATTTTGTCAGCTGAATGCTGTAAAGTAAATTTGTGCAAGGTTCCCACTTAGGTGCTGATATGTGACAATAAGCAAGATATACTCCTGAGATGTAAAATCAGAAAATACCTATTAAATGGAAGGAACTTCGTAGTGCTAGTAGGAACTAGGAAGAAAGAAGTACACAAGAAAATTGCTGTTGAATTTAAATATAGGTGAGTTTAGGGTTGTGCTTGAACCACGTCCCTGCCTATGGTCCAAACATTACCTCAAAACTCGGTTCAGTGGGTGAGGGTTGCCCTGAAGAGACTTCCTGCTTGTGCAGGGGTGCAGCGGACCCGTCTCCAGCCCGGTTACACGTTGGTTGTCACAGGCTGGCCTCTTCCCAACATACAGCTCTGCAGCACAGCTGCAAGTAGGAACACACTGCTCTGCCCTGAGCCCGCTGCTCCCTGAACAGAAACATCTCTTTTCCTTTTATTGCTGCAGGGGAGAGGCCAGGGCACCATGAATCTGTCCTGCTCTGCCTTCATGAACTGCACCGCTGCTGCTCCCTCTCCTCGTCACCATTCGCGGGGCTCCATCCTGCAAGGTGCTGAGMAGTCCTAGCTCACGTCCACACCACCATCACCTCCACAGTGCAGTAATGGCTGAATAGTGAGCACTGAAATCAGTGGACTATTCTTGTGACTGAGATTCRGGTAAGAGCGTGTTACCTGCTCACACAGTGCTAAGCAAGGTCTGGACTGAGATGCTGCTTTGCACTTGGRCCTAGAAACCTGCAGGACCTGCAGTCCAAGTCACAGAGGAACCTCCCCATCCGTGCTCAAGATTTATATAGTTTACTTTCCTGTTCTTAATTCTCTCCTAACAAAACTGTGTTCAAAGATGATTAGCAGATGTTGTCATTAAAAAGTTGATACTTGCCAACAAATAACACATGGAACTACTTGAGAAACAGTGCTGTTTCCACATATTTTCCCAGGAAAGGATACTCATGGTAATCTGTAAGACTTGAAAAAATATGACGCTTTGAAGTATCTTCTAGAATACATCATTTTCTTAAGAGAACTGCCAGTTTCCTGAGAATTAGTTTATCTTGTTTGTATGAAATTATCTGGACAAACACATGATACCGAATGTGTAATTAAGCAGATTACAGTTTAAAGGGTAAGCGCTAATCTTTTTAGCTAATAATGGACTTGGCTAGGACAGGCTTATTTGGAAGAAAGACAAATCAGAAGAATCACTAAATAATAGACAGTTACATATCTTAATTTAAGAGATTAAGAAGAATGGTCAATTGATACGCAGCAAAGATTCTCKGAGGCTAGATGGTGATGAATAAAAATGACAAGATTTTAATATGTCTTGACAGAGCCGCTGCAATATAAAGATAGCAAACCCAGACCTAAGTAAATAAATAAAGAAATAAAAAGCAGGGGTGTCAGCAGAAGGATGCTCACACATTGGACCTAGCTGGACCAGTCCAGCATAGAACCACTCCCGTGTTGGCCAGCCTGGTAGGCACTGAAGTTTAAATCCTGGCAGCCAGGCTCTCCACTAACAATCTGAAAAGAGGAGTGTTTTGCAGTGCACAGAGCAGGACTGTGAGCACACCAAATGCAAACCTCATTTTCATACAGTTTTCAAATAAATGACTGCTGTATTGTACTTTCCACTGTATTCTAAAATCAGTATTTTAGAGGTTGAGACTTAAATCCTTTTTTTTTTTTTTCCTTTTCCATGGACTTTTTGCTCAAAAGGTGACATATCTGCCAAAAAGTGTACATTTCGAAAGGGTTTCTATTATTTTTTTCCTACCATACGGCTGCAAGCTACAACATTCACTGATGAGATTGGTGGCATTTTCAAGCTATCATTTCTGTCTCATGCAAACCTGCCACCGCCAGTAAGAATATGCTCACTGACGTACTGAGCTTCCATTAGGCTTTTCTTTGGGATTTAGCTCTTAGCTTCAATYCATGCTGTACATGAAGCAAAAAAAGACAAAAATGTTGGCATGTGCCGTTTGCACCAACGAAGGTCAGCATTTGAGGGGTTTTAAGTTTCCAAAATATAAAAAATTCATGGGGTGTACAATTAGAAATACTGTTTTACAGACATGCAGCAACAGGAAATCCAGCTAAACGGTGTTTATTTCTTCAACGTTCTATTAAAACAGAGTTCTAGGATGAGATTTGCCCATTATATCTCTTAATTGCATCCAGATATGCAAAACATTTACTGCTAGTGTCTCGCATATAGTACAACATTTTAAGGCTGATTATGAAACAGCATTACARTTGTCACAAGATGAAATACTCACTGTTATGAGTCAATATTCTTTTCTGAAATTAATTGTAAGTAYTTCTTAAATTGGATATAAACCCTACTAACCTACTGAAACAGCTAGTTATGGAAACACTGTTCTTTTAAATTCAGAATGGTATCAGCATAAAATATTTTATCTAACCAAATTACAAGGAAGGAAGAAACATGCAAGCAGTGTCCACATTTATCATTATTAAAGGCAATTGTAAGTCTAGCATTGAAATCTTTTAGGATTTTCCTTTTGAAAGTGTGAAATTTGCCGTGCAGATGCATGCAGACACAAAGCAGCGCAGTTACATTTTAATTGTACTTTGAAGAGTAGTTAGCACCTGGCTTTTGTTGTGTTATACCGCACAGAGAGGAAAACACACAACTTAGAAGTGTTTACACTCACTAATCTCCATGGCCCAAAACATGTAGCAGTCTTTTCGATGCTTACGGGTATAATAAAGTAAACAATGAAAAAATGTGAAGGTAGCAGTTTTTAAAGAACCCTGCATCAAAATTGTTCATTTCTATTCAAAAATACTGTTGAGTGTGTTTGTTGTTGAGTATGTTTGTTGTTGAGTATGCTTGTTGTTGACTACAAATCTCCACTTGATCCGTTAGCTGCAATTATTTAATATTCTTTCAAACATGTCAAAAATGTTATTTAAATAATATTGTTTTAAAAAGATTTCTTGATTCTATAGTTCATAAACGCAAATTAAATTTCAGACTTTTATAGCCCAATATTGCATATTAACATTATTTTTTGCATATATTTCTAAATCCACGTTGCAGCTCACTTTTCCTGAACAGCTATTCACAAGGGAACGAGTGAACCCCTGACTGTAGCCTAATCAAAGCTGGCAAACGTTACCTAAATATTGGATACCTTTTCCCACTGTCCATTTAGTGGGGAAAAAAAGGAGGATGTACTTGCACTTACCTGAATGAAAGCAGCATTTTAAAAGGCACCTAACTAGGATCTAATCCTTCTTTATGAGCATTTTTTTTCAACACAAATACCCACTAGTGCATTTCTCATTCTTCTCTGAATATCCAAACCAAATACATTCACAAACATCTGGGAAGAAAACCTATTATKTCTTTCTAAAGTAGCTGCATTTTATGTAATGACCTATTAAACTGCAAGCATTTTGGCGGAAGTTAAATTAGGTACTGATGTTGATTCTTCACTTGATGACTTATCAGTCAAGTAATTCTAGAAACAAATACTTGAGAATACATTCCAGACACTATCAGAAATTTTAAATCAGGATCGCCTTTTTTCAAGCATCTCTCTTTTCAAAAAGAAATAACAGTTTATGTATGTTTTCAAAAATATATACTTTTAGAAATAAACTCTATTTATATCATTTTTCAGCATCGTTATGCACCCAACATTTACATTAGCACTTACCGCTGGATGCTAATTGTCTATTTATTTAAGAGCCTACATAATTTAGGAATGCTCCAGTATTTCTGTGATCTAGATTTCCTTGTAGGTATTAATCAGTCTAAATATAAGTCTTTTATCTGCATGCCAAATGTTAAAACTATATTAGATAACTGTCTATATTCTTCTATTTTTACAGCAGCTCTTCATGGCAGATGAAGATTTGAACCTTCTGAGGTTAGTAGGATTCTGACAGTAATCCAGGCAGTGCAAGTCTTAGCTCTGTGCATCTATATGTGACGCTCAGGAATTTCTAAGCTCTGTATGTGCCTATAAAACTGTATTTACCTGCTGAGTGAATCCTGTCACCAGATCCTTGGCAGCCATCCTCATCATCACAATCCCCGCTGGACTCTGTTTCTTCACTTCTTCCATCCCCACTGCCAGTATCTCGGGAATTCCATCTTTCCAGTTTTAATTTTGCCTTCTCAGCATCCAGCTAGAATAGGAGAAACAAAAACCAACAGTCAGTTTATTTACACAATGTCTGATGGCCATCCTCGGTTTATAAACTTGTGATTGAAGACACCACATATTCTGTTTTCCAAGGTACCTCTGGTCCTTCTGCTGGTCCTCTTGCAGACTACATATGGGATATCACTGGGTAATGACGTTATAACCTGCTGGATGTCTGAGTACTTGTTTTAGGATATGTACAGTTAAAGACAACAAAAAGCCTTGACAACCTTCAGAGAGCTGAGTATATTTGCTACTCCTCATATGCACTTGGTCACTTGGATGTCTCAGCCCCTCAATATGATTTTTAAGACGCTAGCATTTAGAGGGTGCCTTTACCAACCACGAGTTGTTCATTAAATTTCACTTGAAATACATTTTCGGCCTGACTACGGAAGAAGGTGTCTGTTTCTAAAATTCATTTCAATGTATCATTCTTGATGACATCTATTATAATAATGTATTTACTCCCCTAACTTATCTTTTTGATCTTGTATGTTCTAATTCCCTCTGTCACAATGAACTGTTGCCTGTTGTTACTGCTCTTGGAACAAAAGACTCTTCAGGTCACTGATGATTCCCAAGAATGAAAAACACCACTGCATTTTCCATCAATGTAAATCCCAGTATTTGGGGAGCAGCAACAACAGCAGCGCTATTCAGGAAGAAATGAAATAACTGTTTTAGACAAATGTATTTTGTTGTAAGGCAGTGGTCAAAGAAAAATCTTTCTATGAAGTAGCTTAAACCTAACTCCTCCACACCTGAGAGGAGAGCTTTCTCCCCGAGCTAGATGGCACCTCTCCTGATACAAAAGCCAGAATTTAGGTGTTTCATGTTCCTCGGCTGATGCCCTCTTCAGCACGCTGTATTTGCCCTTGCCTAGTACACAGGATACTTCCATATATGACAGAAGATGGAAAGAACCATTCCAGCACTTTTGTCTATTTCCTTCTCCTGTTTGTTTTAGCTGAAACTAAACTATACCGCGCAGATGAACACTGTTTTGAAAGCCAGCTTGTTTGTCTCCTTTTTAAAGTTACAAAAACCTTGCTTGTGTCAGTGCTGCTCGTCTCAGGACCCCTTATTCTGGTTATGTGAAAGTATTTTAAGCAACGGGAAAGGCTCTGTAACATCTCTCAATGTTTGTCAGRTTCTGGATCTGTCCAGTACCCTTCACCACAAGTCTCTTCCCCCAAAATGCTGCAGATTCATTTCGGGCTTTCTGATGTGCTTTATCCCAGAGCACTATAATTATTTTTGGCTCTGAGGGAAATGTATTTTGAACCGCAGATACTTTGAAGATTCAGACAGTTTCTCAACTAACAAGGAGGTGGGCTGGGRGCCGAGGGAGGAACCGGGAACACAGGCCAAGATAACGGTATTAACTGGGTTAAACTGACGGGGGGGCGCTATGAAGGCAGCAATTTCCCTGCAGTGGGAAGCTCTGTTTTATAATCTCGTTCTTCAGCTCCTGTGAGCTGCTGGAATGACAAAGGCCTGGACCACTTCGCCAAGAGGTCCTTCCTTCTCTATTGAACAACATATGCCAACTTTTACACAAGAGAACTCTGATTTTTTTCAGCCTTTCACTGACCTGTTTGCTCATTCCAAAAGCACAAATAACTTCGCACTGCAGATAGAAGCTCACAATGTGCAAGGAGGGGGGATGGAAGAGCGTTAAACACTGGCTATGTGCTACTGCATGGCTTTTTTTATAAGTAAGTTGCTGAATGGTGAACCTTACCATTCTTAGGCATAAAACTTGAGGCCGTGGCACTATAAAACCACATTTTGTCCAACAACTGGAAAAAATTGCCAATGAGGGGGAAAGATAACTCAGTTCTTTCTCAGACTTAGTGTGTCTTGACCATATTAGAGAAGATTCATGCATTCTTCTCTCATTGGTTACAAGCCTTTAGAAAGAAAAGGGCTAAGTGGTGACCAGAATGCACACAAAATGTAATGAAGGCTTTTGATGACTGTTTGCCAGTGAAAGCAGAAATGTTTATTGCCTGCTAAGGTTACCATTCTTTTCAAAAATGTCAKATCAGTCAGTGCTCACGGCTCAATCCTGACCTGTCCTCAAAACAAGCAAATAGTTGAACAAACTGTGCACCACTTTTAGGAGAACAGCCCTAACATTTGTCTCTGATTCATCTGAAAGCTGAAATGCTCCCGTTCAGCTCTGAGTCAGATACAGATGACTATACTCATGTATTTTATTCTAGAAAAGGTTCCAAGTTTAAGCTATATTAAAAAGCATGTTCTGCTGAAGGATGCTTTTGGAGGGAAGAAAGGAGCCGCACGGGAAGGGCTGCTGTCTCTCTGCCCTGTTGATAGTTGGCACCATGCAGAGGCCAGGGCYACACGGCTGGTTGCATCGAACCTTCTCCTTATGCTGATTTCAAAGCCTAACCCCTGAGCTCCCTCCCGAGTCTAACCCCAAACGTGTCTCTGGAGCTCTCAACACAGACGTATTAGAACATAACATGTTTAAATATATAACATGGAACATTATAAACATAATTTATTCTCATACTTCTTCATGAGGGCATGTTCCAAATGAGCACTCCCATATATTAATTAAATCATAACTGTTTAGCTCCAGAAAAACTATTTGATAAAAGTGTTGATTTTAATCAACTTCCTTGATTAGTCTACTTTCTGAGGGGTCATATATGCCTGTATATCTGAGGGGACAACTTCAAGCTGTGGAATAATGAGCTCATTTTATCAGAAAATGGGTTTTAAAATTGTGTTTTGCACCAGAGTTTCAGGCTTTCCAGGTCAGTGAGCATGGCCATGGAAATCGAAGAGAATACACTTTTAGAATAAAGCCACTTAAAGTTGTGTGCTTGGCGCACTCAGAGACAAATTCTGTATAATAACTGCTTCCTGAGGGATTTGTTAATTAGTTTTCTATATGAAGGATTTCTGTGTGAATGCTCTTCCCCTCTGAAAAAGCAGCTATGAGCTCAAACCTGCCTTCAGTCCCCTTGTCACGTGAGCACATGCATCTTGCTGGCTGGTGTTTCCCCAAAGATCAAAAAATGGCTTATTCTACACTACATTAAGGAACTGTAAGCTAAGCAGATCTTTTCTCAAGGTACTGACAACAGTTGTCTTCTAAGTAGTACTCCAGTGACATAAACACGATTCGCCGAGATGAAGCATTTTGCCAGCGTTAGGCACTAATAATTTAGAGAGCCATTCATGAAAAGAGTCAGAAATGACTCAATCCTTCCATTCATTCTATTTAAAAAGAAAAATAAAACTCCTTTCTAAACCATTATTAGGTCAKAAGTGACTACAACTGGAAAAGACAATGAGCCTTTGTTCTTAGCCCATTATATACATTTTTTGTTAGGGACTGACATACTGCTTTAGGCATAAAGCTGCATTTTACTGGTGTCTTGTGACTGAGCAGATGTTCTGTCATTTCACAAAACAACAGCAGCATAACAAATTTTAGACTTAACTGCCATTTTTAGATTTAACTATATACACTTACTCCAAGAGGATCCTCTCCTTTGAGATAACATTTATGGTTAATTTGCTCCCACCTATGCTCCTAGATCCATTTTAAAAGCATGCAGCACTTGCTTTTGTTCYATTTAAAATCTTTTCTAAATCCATTTTTTCTGTTTATCTAGCATTTGTATATTACAGCAAGAGTAAACAAAGTAAACTTATTTGCCCTCCAGCTTGCCAGACATTTTCCTTGGTTTGTTCTTCCTGTGTCTGAACAGCATCAAATCCAGACGGCCCTGACCATCGCGCCKTTCTAGTTTCCTCCGAAGGTAGCACAACATAACGAGGTATTACCAATCAACTCTTAAATTCTTTTTTTTTCAATCTAAGAAATCAGACTTTTAACCTTCTGGAATAACTGGCACCCTCAAAAAGTTTCTTTCTGCTGTATTTATTCAGATCCTTACAATAAACTATGTGTARCACATCTGGCTTTACAAGTCACCTGTATAATACCAGAATAAATTAACTGAAGAGTCACACGAAATTTATGCAAGGTGGTTAAGGACTGACAATGCTGTTAGTATTTTATCCACACTCCTCCCTACTAGACCTTTTGCAACATGGGAATTGGACCAATATTTGTGGATGCATTTGCTTTAGGGTTTTCCTTCTAGCCTAAGTGCCTTGCATTTGCTTAGCTTAAATCTGCTTGTCTTTTCCATGTCAGTGCTCCCAGTATAACTATACAACAAAGGTGGAAAGTTCTGCTCAAGCACAGGGGTACAACAAAAACACTCAACTCAGACTATATGCGCCCCACAAACATGTAGCTGACAGTCCCCTTATCTCCTCTGCCCCAGTGTATCTGCATGCTAGAAAAAACACAAAATTTGAAAGTTCTTTTCTCCCTTTGCAATGTTTTATTTTCAGTTATTATCCATTTATTTTTTATTTTATTTATTCACTCCACTATCAATTATCTGGAATCACTTTTGGGCCCGAGATGGTCGCTGCCTGGAATATCAAGACACATTCTGTAAGTTCTAACAGACCTCTCCTGTATTTATCCGCCACACTATCTGCCCAGTAAGCTGACTTCCCTATAAACCCGACATTTTCTGGTTGAGTTCTCATGCAAAGAGGACACGGAATACGCATCTGAATCATGTGTGCAACTCTGAATGCATGCAATTCTGAATTCTAAATACTCATTGAGTGGCAACATCAATTTTGGGTATCAACACAAAATCTGCACCCGCATGGAATTGTGACTAGGAAACTGGCTTGCAAAAAGGGGAGGCTCAGCCTCGCCTCACTCGCAGATCCCTCTGCACCACTKCAGCCTCGGCCTGCCTCAACGCTGACATGAGCAACGGCTTCCAAGACAGTCCAGGCTTCTTTGGGAGGCCAGAAGGTGACTTGGGGGTCCCTGTACGCAGCCGTGCTGATCTGCAAGGCTGGGCTCCGGCAGGGCCTTTTCTCTCTGCCAAGCCGTGGATCCCAGCA